CCGGGAGGAACTTCCAAGGAATTTCCACCGACCATCCCCACATCCGCCACCCGTGGGACGCTCCCCATACGCGGTAATGAGCCCGCGCGAGGTAATAGAAGAAAAATAACAATAAATAATAATCAAAAAACATATATACAATACATAAAATAAAATAATCTAAAAAATAAGAAAATTAATACTAAGCAAAAACACATGCATACCTAACGCGGGAGTCTGTGTCAGGTGATGACACAACTGAACATTGATTTTAATAAATTAATTTGAAAATAAAATTTTTAATAAGGCTTAACTCCGTTTTCCGTTTGAAATCGGTTCATTCATCAAATGAATTTTTTGTTGAAAATCACCTCCCAGAGTTTGACGAATCTGTATAGAAACAAACTATATGAGAATAAAACGTTTTTTTTTTTTATTTTCTACTCTTTATTCTTTTTTTTTATAATCCATAATTTTATTGTACCTATTTACATTTATAAGTATAATATAATATACCTATAGAGTCAGGAAGTTTTGAAAATCATTTGTGACAATTTTGTACTCTCATATTGTTTGTTTTTATATGTATTTTATTTTAGATGGAGACCGAGCGAGATAACGCGTGCACAGTACCGTTCGTTGTCTGGAGACCTGATAACCAAAGTTTAACCAAATTCCCCCGTCATATCTCCTGGTACGGGGGAAAAACCCGTGGAGCCTAAAACGCGAGGAAGGAGAAACAAAAAAAAAATGATAGAATTATTCTAATCGGGTAAGAGGTCTTGTAGAAATTATATATCTAAATGGCTTAATATCCAATTATTATAATTATCTTAAAATATATTATTTGAGGAATGATTAAAACTAAAATTTGTTATATGCACATATAATGTACTTGGGATTTTCCCCTAAAAATGTTTGCCTCAATTAATCATCGAATTTATTTTGAGATATGTTCGTAACAATAATTTTTGTAATTCAGAGATGCATATTGTAACAAAAAATAAAATAAAAAAAATACTATCTCATGACTTATAATTGACAATAAGGTTAGACTCTATCGTCTGTGGCGGCATACGGTCAAAAATATTTATCTATGACAAATGAATAATATGTGGAAGTAAATAAAAATTATCTTTTTAATATTATATCACTAAAATGAGAAATATTGGTATATAGTGTTATTTAATATTACAATTTTTTCAGTTTTTTAATTTATGAATGTAATTTTTTTATTCAGACTGAGTAAATGAAATAGTATAACATCTCGAAAATTGGTTTCAGTTAGTTTACACTAACAAATTACAAACGTGAAATTATTGATGATTAATAATTAATAAAATCTGACTAAGCGTCCTATGAGAAAGTGATGGTGTTTTTAGATTTTGAAGAGTAATTAAACTGTGCAAGATGATTAATAAAATGCTTATAATGTCTACTATAATTTATTTTTATTCCATTTTTTTTTCAAATTTGCATATTTTCTTCCCAAATTAGTGTGGGCACTGTGATAAAAACATCATAAACAGTTAAGTCCAGGAAAGTTCGCTAGTTTTCTTGAGATCGGATCGACTAATTGTAATGTAGAACACTAATTAAAGGGAAGGAAGATGGGAAACGAGAAGCTAATAGCCAAGCCACGAACTAAGGAACCTCATCTCTAATTAGACCAAACAGGAAGAAATGAGTCGGGCCAAGAAAACTTGAGTAGCTCCTAGGATCAGCAAGGGATATTGAACAAACAGGAACATTTTTTAAAGCACGATTTTTAATAAAAAAAAAACAATAATGATAATCAGTTCTTAATTAGAACAAAATTGAAATAATGTGACGGTTTACCAAATATTCCAGACAACAAAACTCAAGTACAAACTTAAGTACTTAGAGTCCATTATTCTTAATTTCAAAAATGATTATTTTCCAAAATTGGTTGTTTTATCCAAATCTATATATATAATATTATTAATTTCGACTAGTTGATGTGTTCACTTCTATCGTATGGTCTAAAGCACACACCTTAGATTTTTATTTTATTTTTTGTGTATACATTCTTAAAATATCAGTATTGATAAAAAATCTTCTATTTAGCGATTTTCTTATTATTTTTTTTTAACCACAATCATTAATGAAACATTTATTGACTAAAGGAGTTGAACTATAGTCTTCCATGAACTGAATTTCTAAGATGAACCGCAGGGAAACTTTTGGACTTCAATGAAGAAGCCGAAAATGTTTGAAAGTCAATAATGGTATTTCTGAACATCTATAAAGTAAGACTTGTAATAACCAAAATGCTAATACATGTACGAAATATATCTTTTTTGTGAAATTTTGTTTATTCATAATTAACCAATAAAATATAAACAAATGAAATTCGGATAAGAATATATGAGTTTTTTAAAAATTATTTCCCCATAAGCAACCTACTCATAGAGTATGATCCGTTCCTTCTAATTCATCCTGTATACGTTGAATATATATTATACATAAAAAGCTAGTTAAACCGGGTTTAAATCGGAGATTACTTGGCTGATAGTTGATTAATATTATCTTAATAACGTTTGATGTATCAATAATGACGTTTAATAACATTAGATACAATCAACACTGGTTGTCTGAAAATGTAAATGAGATTTCGCTAATAACTTTGTTACTAGTGTAGCCCAAATGCGCACTCAGTCTTTTAATTTTATTTGTTATTTATTAATTTTTTATTGAAAGAATAATAAAATAATCAGCCACAATCACGAGCATTGGGTATTATGGCTCTGTGAGTACATTTATACTATTATATACAAATTGAAGAAAAAAGAAATAAGAAGAAAACATATAAGCAAAAGATATACAATAATTGAACAATAAAAATATATCACACTTGTAAAAGAAAAGGAAAAAAATCTGGTATGTCGACTCACACGACTTTCCTACCTATTTCAGAAACGTTTTTATATCTTTACATATTTTCATGAAGAAACAAAAATAATTGAACTAGATACATTTTCCTGAAAATTGAACAAACATAAGATTTGAGTACGATTTATTTGATAAACTTAAGCAATGTAAACTGGCTTAAGGTAGATCAGAGTACAAATTTCAATACTTCCTAATATTGATGATCAAAAACATTTTGCCATAGATTAGTATTGCCAAAACTTTATTCTCTCATTCACCCCTTTCTGACACCAGCTTATGAAACCGTAATCTTACATTGGAAATTGAACAGCTGTAACTTCGTTAATAGTTATCCAAAATGAACGATTTTTATATACTTTTGTAGATAATTTCACTACATATCAAAAAAACAATATAATATATACTTAGCGAGTCAGGCCCTCAAACCCTTTGTAGGGAATCGTTTAGTAGTTCCTGAGAAAATCTTGGCACAGACAGACCAATGGCTAAAAATGTGTTTTTCGGACTCAGGGGGCTCTGAAACGGATAGATCCATCGAAAGCCACATGTCGGAAATTTGACCCGATTGCAATGCTTTCCTTACCTAGTATAGGTAGGAAAGTAAAAAGCACATTGAAATGATAATAAAAAGAAAAAGGTAAAAAAAGAAACAAAAAAACTTGTCAAACATTCATTCCTATATACAATATTTACATTCAGCCTGGGGAACCCTGAAACATACTTTGCCACTCTCATGTGAAAGGATCAAAGAGATCCCAGCAGCAGAAGAGTAAAAGTATATTGGCTATACCAATTCTTTACATATAGTAACTAAACCTGTCAAGTATCACTAACTATTTCGCTTTAATTTTTTATTTAAAAAATCGATTTTTTTACCACTCTTGGTCTAATAGGTAGGCGGTCTTGTTCTCGGTCTTGCAAAGTGCGAGACCAAGGCCGATTTCGGAAAACACTAATCCCTATTCAACAAATCCGATACCTTGGACTCCACATGGACAAACGACTCAGTAGGAATCCTCACACCATACTGAAACCTCCCGATGTTTTCGAATACTCCAGCATTCACCAGAAAAACGCTCTAAACCTCCAATTTTTACAAAAGACTCATATATATTATTATAACAAGGCTTCCAGGCCGTACTCTGTTTCCTCTTTCTCGAAGGTGTTTCTGTTCCCTCCCTTGCTTAGACAAGCCTTCCGATCCTCTCCAAACATGCCCTCGGAAGACCAGTGTCGGTACTTTGGTGTTTTTGCCGACCTCTGTCCTTAAGTGTTTTATTGCCCATTACAAAAGTTTGCACTCAATAGTGGGTCGTTACTCTCCCTCAGGTAACCGTCAGGTAACAAGGTCTATTTGTACGTTATCTAACTTACGTGATCGAGCTTTGGTGCTCTACTAAAACATCTAATTCCTCTCGTATCCAATCCTTACAATCCAAAACCCTTCGGAAAATCCTCAACCTTGTCACAAATAATCATAATAATCATCCTTAACTTAAAGATTTTAATGTACCATATATTTCCGATCTAGCTCAATCCAGATAAGTATCCTTCCATGATAAACTTCTGAACCATCCGAACCTTCTTGTTTCAACCTTGTTTCCTCTTCTATTCCTGATGACCCTGCGAAGCGTCTGAAGAGAAGATGGCATCGGGACAGTATAATATGGAACTATAATTGGAGTGCTACCAAGTAGTTTCTTTTGATTTTGTACATGACATGTTACTAATTTCAAATTTACTTGTTGTATTTTTCATGTAATAAAACGTTTTATTGAAGCTATAAATTTCAATAAATATATTGAACATTGATTATGACAAAAATAAATTGTAACATTGATAAAGAAAAAATGTCTTTGACCGTTGTCACAGAGGATAGGATAAGAGTAATTTGCACATGATCAGGCATTGCCGATGTAGGCTTAGAGTACGATAGGGGGCTTTCACAATTTCTGGCAATAACCGACAACACTATTTGTTACTGATGACACTTCAGTGTGACCCCAACTTGGAGGTTTTTTTAAAAGTTCAGTTGAAAAACGATAGACTTTTAAACAAAGATATGGACTGTTACTGACAGTTACTGATGGACTGTTACTGACACTTACCTTTGATGGTGTGGGACCTGTGGTCGGCGTACTGTGAGTGGCGGGCGTGGTGGCCGAGGAAGGCGGGTATTGTCGAGATGCAGGTCAGTTCGAGGCCCTCCCGGTGTCGCTCCTCCACCAGGAAGGCCAACTGCACCGTTACTGAGTCTGGGCTTTCCTCGGGGAATGTTCGCATCAGGCTCTCATCCGCCTAGAAAGAAGATTATCATACACATATTATTATTCATATACATCTGAATAGGTAGAAGTGAAAACAAAAATATTGCCTCAACATTCAACACTGAGTTTAAAAAAGTAGCTACGCTACACTATGCGCTGGTACTTATTCCATTTGGTAGTAGATACCAAAATGTAAAGTCTGTGAAAAAATCACTTGCTCATATCTGCTCATTTAAAAGTAAGATTGATTTTCCTGTTTATACTTTTTGCGTAACGTAAAGAAAATATTAGTCGTGTAAGTCAAATAACAAACTTCAATCCTATATTAAAATTATTTATTTATTTTCGTCTAGGCTGTTAGTAATTTAATCCCATTTAAATGAACAAGAGAAGATCTAGAATATAATACAAAATTGAACTTTATTCTGGGACTAAGTCCCCTTAGAATAACAATGATGAATTAATACAAAATAAAATACAAATCTGGCCAAAAATCTAACTTATAAAATTCTAACATTATATAAAATAATTTAAAAAGTAGTATGTAACCACTAGAAAATAAGCAAAAAAAAAAATATATATATAAATGAACATAAAATCTTCTCAAAATTACATATTATTGTGATGAAAAAAGAAAAGAAATTACATATCTATACATACATAACTACACAATTTATAAACAATAGGCTATCTAATAGGAAAATAAGTTAGTACAAAATGTAATAATATCTATAGTGATTTATATAATAATAAGCAAACACTAAGATAAAATAAAATCTCAGGATTACTTGTGGTGTAATGGAAAAAAAGGAACTATGCATACGTACATATTCATATTGGTACACAGAGAGACAAAAAGTATAAAATATAAACATATATACCCAAAAGAAAGAGCACACTTGAGGCGAAGAAAAAAAACAAATAAATAGTAAAAATAATAGTCAAAATAGGTGACAAAGATCATTGCTGTTTTATGTTAAAACTTAAACAGTAGGCACCACCATTTACTTCTCACAAATTCTTTTAATAGCTGATCTATTAGAGTTAATAGCAGGTATTACTGGGATTTCTAGAGTTTGACATTAAGAGTTCGTTCAAAGTTTTTCACGAGCTGTTATGTGAGGTATTAGATGAACACAACATGTTCCCTAGTGCAATTTGAAAGAAAACATATCTTTTATCCAGCGGCAAAGATATATCACTAATGATTTAATCTATTGGTTTTATTTCACAAATTGAACAATAATTGAAATGTATGAAATTTTCCAAAAATTCTGTCGCAGTGGTCTAGTGCATATAAAAATCGAAACATTGTATCTGTAAAATTTAAATTTCTTAGCATAAAGGTATTGGTATTTGTTTTAGTAACTCTACCACTAAAACGCTATATTTTAATCTTCACAGTCTTCTAATTTTATTTTATTTTATTTTTCCTGTTATTCCCTACCTTGCCTGTTAGGCTATACGGGAATTTCCCGGAACTCAGAGTGAGGGCGGGGAATTTTCAAAATCCCCCCCGGCACCGGGACGCGAACTCGTACTTTTTTTTTTTATCACATAACTTCGGTTATCTGGTTGCTCGGCAACTTGCGGTGCTATGCACACGCGTTAGACCATTCGGCCATGCCGCCCCCATAATCTTCAAACTCTGAAATCGGTTCTCAAATTTCAATTTTTTTAGATTTTTAAATTATTGGGGAAGGCAAAACCTCTCCCCAACTACGCCCCAATCGCTTCAATCCAAATATTCCCTAAATGTAATAAATTAAAAAATAAATAAAACAACAATCCTCAATAGAGATCAAACTTAATTAATTACCTAAAGTAATTTTTTAAATATTATTTTTCAAGGAAATAACACAAACAAAATAATATCGACAATTTTAAAATACGGATAATCCTTCAACGGCGAATGTCTATTTTAAAAAAAATATGTATGCTATAATCTTAAGTTCTATATTTTGTAATCACCATAAATCTTTATATCTAAATATTTATTCAGTAAGTTTTTAATAAAGTCTATCTAATCTTCAAAATGCACAACAATATTGACTTTAATTGATAGATTTAATTTTATTCAGAACTTCACAACATTTAAAACACAATAATAAAAACGCCCAAAACCTTCGATTTACTTTTTATTTCATTCGATTTCGAATAAGGAAATATATAAATAATGATACTTATTTGAGTTTTGAAGTCTTATGCCTAAGATTGGTCGAGATTTTTCCTGAAAATTAGATGTTTTGAACCATTTGGCGTCGCGTGGGTTGTTGGAACCCGAAAAGTTACCTTCATACTCTTGTTGATTTGGCCAGTAGTTTAGTTTTTCATGTTAGGAAGCTATACCTATTAAACTTAAATATGCCCTTACACTTCAACCAGTGGCCCATAAAATTATAATTTACCCTTGCATGAAGTAGACGCTCAACGATGTTTTTGTAGCTCCCATAGATATTTCAAAAAAAGCATTTCTGCAGATAGTGTATTCATTGTGCTACAACGTCGCCCTGAGGATCTTTGTTTGATTGAGGTAATGAATTTATATTATCTCATATGTTCACTGTAAATGTTCCGCAATGCTGAGTATATATCAGAAGGAAGTTTTATAAAAAAGAGCCCCTAAAAGTTATATGTTCAGATAGGAGTCCTAACGACCCTTTTTAATACCCTCTAAAACCGGAACTTTTATTAGTTCCTTGATAGATTTAATTGGAGTTGGGATAAGTTAGAGTGGTAGCAGAAGGGCATTCGTTTAGTCGTCACTTTCCTTTAATTATACATAGTTAAGAAAAGGGTTATGTAATTGGTCATTGAAGATTTTAACAACCTCTATCGATTTTATATCTAAGATGATTTATTTTTATCGTCAATTAAGACCTTTTGGAATTGCGGTATGATGGTAATTATATTGAATATTACTTTGATTTAAATATATCTGATCTGAAAGAGAAATGGATATATTGAATAAAGGAAAAAAAATATGTGGGCACATAATTAATTCTTTAATACAATATAAATGAGTCAACTATAAAGTATTAAAATAAAATTAAGTAAGCAATGAATTATTTTTGTTACATAAATAAGGCTGCCTGAAACACCATGTGCTGGTAAAATGCCCCAACAACTCCCTCCTCATAACACGCCGGCACCATAGGGTAAAATTCAAATTGATGAGGCAGGAAAGGGAATTCATATGCTTCGAAGAGGTCTATTGTATTGATAGTGATGGATCAACAAGATATAGTTGCATTCTCCAGGACTGGAAAGGCAGCACTGGTCATGGATCCAATTGTTCGCTATGAGAGCAATGGCCTCGATCAAGCCAATAGAATTAGAAAATAGAAGTAGAAAGAGAAAATAAGGAAATCTACGAGAAATGCAACAAATGCCGAAAATGTACTTTATCATTTGGCATATTTACTAAGCTGTAATACAAACAAAACTGAATGCCAATGAATATTCTTGTTGATTTGGCCAGTAGTTTACTTTTTCATGTTTGGAAGCTATACCTATTAGACTTAAATATGCCCTTACACTTCAACCAGTGGCCAATAAAATTATAATTTACCCTTGCATGCAGTAGACGCTTAACGATGTTTTTGTAGCTACCACAAGTCTTTTAAAAAAGTATTTCTGTAGATAGTGTTTTCATTCTGCGACAATGTCGCATAAAAGTTCAAAATAAATATAAAAGTTCGTATTAACCCATTTATCTCAAACTCATTTATTAAACAGATATCAAAGGTTAAAGATTTATTATTTATTTACTACATTAAGACTGACTTTACAAAGTTTAACGTGTTTAATACTAAATAACATGTTTTAATCACCTGATAAACGAATGAACGATAAGCAGTGACAGTAGTTGCTGATCTGTTTGTCTAGTTCTGTGATAGGGAATTCTGTGACACAGTTCAATTTATGATTATCATGGAAGACGCCATAAACTTATTTACTTTTGCAGAACAAACTGACATGCTTTTAGCTTATGGCGAGGTACATAGAAACGGTGCTGCTGCTGTTCGAAGATATCGTGAAAAAGAATACCAAACCGTAAAACGTTTGAGGCCATTGAAAGATGCCTTAGGGATAATGGCTACTTACACTAGCGGGTCCAGGATTTAATTTTGGAGGAGGCTTCAGCCCGAAACTTTTTTTTTTCATAAAGATAACGATAATTACTTTGGAAAAATAAAAATAAACCAACTACCTACATGAAATGGTGTTTAAGTGATTTCTAAAGACCTTTTAAATGTGAATACATGAAAAATAATACTTTAGGAGATAATTTTTAAATATTTTTTTCCACAAGACATGGTTACATTTTAATATTTGGGGAGGGGAAGAGTGGGCTTCAGCCCGAAAGCTCTCCCTCCTTACTTACTTACCTAGGGATAAGGGCCAAAACGATCTCCGGATTTAACGCCATTAGATTATTTTGTTTGGGGCTGGATGAAGTCTATGGTTTATTCTGGGGCAGTTGTCACGCAATAAGAGCTAAGAAATCGGATCGTGGATGCCGCAGTAATTATCAAGCACCATCATGATGACATTGTACGAAGAGCCAGAGAAGCATGGATTCGTGGTGCTGAATGTTACATTCAACAAAACTGAGGCCTCTTTGAACAGTTACTCTAAATGTTGTAATAATAATTAATAAATCTTTAACCTTTGGTATCTGTTTAATAAATAAGTTTGAGATATATGTTATATGAACGTTTTATTTATTTTGTGTTATGGAACAGATACCCAAAATAGTGCCGTGCAATTACGAAATAGTATTGAGGGGTTCCTGATTGCTAATATCGATGAAGCTCTTTTCCATACCAGTCCCCTATATTCAACTTTCAATAACTGTGTGAACTAAAAACTAAAAGGATCCTCCTATTCTGCACCAACATAATAGGTCTCTTTGAAGACAACACTAGGTTAGTGTAAGTTTACGGATACCTGAGTTGTTGCTTTTGCTGTTGATTTTGTTGTCAAACTAAAGGGATATTTTATAGTGTGGCAAGCTAAATTATTATT